CACTTTTATTAAAAAGTGATGTTTGTCACTAAAAAAGTAATAGAAGTCAAGAAAGTAAATTAAAAAGTGATAAATAGTTAAAAAAAAAAAAGTGCCAATTTATTATTATTATTATTTTTTAAAAGGTGACATATTGAGATAAAGCGACAATAATCCAAAAAGTTACACAAATTAAAAAAGTTACATTGATTAAAAAATTGACAGAATAAAAAAAAAAAAACTAACAAAATTAAAGAAAGTGACAAATTCAAAAGAATGACAAAAAATAAAAAGTGACGAACACTCAATGTGACTTTTATATTATAAAATGACATACAATAACACTTTTATTAAATCAACCTTTTAATGATTTTTTCCAGATCTACATGCAGAGCTTCCTGCTATACCATTTACGCTCAGTGCTTCTTTGACTTATCCTTTTAAGACGGGATAAATGTACTAACAATCGTAGTAACTAAAATGATCCCTGGGGAATTGCCTCAAGAAATATTAAATCTCAGTTTATAAACCCTCAACATTCAACTTATCCTATTAACTTTTACCTTTTTTATCCTTTTATTTTTTCCTATTTACAAAATTAGCTCAGGCATCTAGACTAACTGATTTCTACCATATAATATTAACCAAAAATCATTAGCCATTTAAACAAAATCTCCCCTGATTGTTGCATCAGACGATTATCTGAAAAAAAATATTACGTACCCATCAATCCAAAGTATAATAGAATTTATCAAGAAACAAATATCCAGCTATAAGCTTGTATAATTTATTCAAGAAACTGTAATACGGTAACTCAAATACAAATCTATCGAGTAAAAATCGAATTACAAGGAAAAACGATGAAAAATCCTGCCCCCAATCAATCGATTTCACCGATTCAAGAAAACCCATTTTAAAGAATGAATGAAACGTCAGTTATTGTTGGTTTATGTATGAATATTTATGTATGTATATGAATGTGCTTGAGTGGGTTTGTGAGATTAGTTGGTTTTGTTGTCTTTTTTGTACAATTAATATAAAGCTATGGAGCATTTAAAAATACAGTATTTTATACTTTGTAACAATTTTTCACATGATTTTTCAAAAGTGTCTCATATTTATGCTTTATAGTCTAATTTTCTCTTAAATTATTAGAACCAAATCAATAAAATGACATAAGTAAAAAAAAGTGACACAACCATGGTCCAATATTTGAATCCCGAAATTGCGATTCAAATATTATAAAAGCACGTGATTTTCTTCCATATGCCATGATCAGAATCTAGATAGAATCGCATATATATTTGGGTAAATATCAATATGGTTTAAGCTAAATAGTAAATATGTGGGGGAATGAGGATTGATGTCGTCTGATATCAGCATTTTTGGTAGTTTAAGGTCCTGTTGTAGCTTGGAAGAATATGAGCACTTTGCTTCACAATTTATAATATGAAACCACTATGCAATCGACGTGCTAAAGTTTGCATCTCACGATTCTTTTTCAAGCAATTCAAATTTTTTTGCAATGAGAGCTTAAAGGGTCACCAAGCATATAATCAAATAAACTGTAAACTAACAACATTCAAACAAATTCCACTATACTTATAAATCTGAACGTAATTTGTTATAATCTGGATCAGATCTGAAATTAGTATGTTGCAAAAAGCAGAAGATGATACCGGATTTATTTAATATCACTTTGTTGGAGAAAATAAAATACTAAGCCACAATATGAAGTAATTTATTAAAGAGCACAAGAATAAAATAATTTGCATATAATTGAGACTTTATTATAATATGGAAAAAGAATATAAAGATTTTGTATTTATTATTTGTCTAACTTTTAATGTAGTTAAACAACTTGACTAAATTGTAGAGTGTGTAGGAAACAATCCAAACCCTAGAAGTAAAGTTGTACATGAAATAGAATGTATAAAATTTTCCTTATCTTAATATCTTCATGTCTAATACAAATTTCAATTCCCAATTGAGTTTCCAAATAGAATTTCAGCTTGAATTTATCCAATAGATTTTGAATAAGATTCTGAAAGCATTCTAAATAGAAATTTTGCTTAATGTGCACTTTAATTAGAATTCTCAATTATTTTCAATAAAAAATTCACGCCATACTCAAATTCTAACAATCTCCATCTTCGCATGAATTCCATTGCAATGAACAAAACTAAAAAATCTCCACTTGTAGACAAATTCCACTACCAAAAATAAACTTAAACTCTTCAATTAACAACACAAACGAACTTCTCCGTCAACAATTATAACTAAAAATATTCTCCACCTCTTCCACCGTATCTAACTGGAATACCTGAATCCAAGAACTACTCTGGAATTACCTCAGATTAACCAAAAAAATCATAAAGATTTTAAAATTTACCAACCAGGGCTGTAACACACTATGAAGTAGAATCAATCCCAAATACTTTTATAGAAGGCCCCATGCTAGATTGTACACCATCTACTACGCTTAAAGCATGACCAATAAAATCAGCATCCAAATATCTTTCTCCACAGGGTTCTTTTCCAGCAATTGAATACAATGGCACCACAAGTGATGGCGGCAAAGCGACATAATCCATATCTTCTGAACTCAACTAACTGTATTCTTCAAATTCGATTCTATACAAAATCCTAAAGGCATTGTACCAAACTTTCACCATGGTACTGAACCCGTGCTGATTGATTTTTTTAGATTCTGCACGACACTACAAGATGTATAATTGTTTCATATGTAGTAAACAAGTCCTTATTAGGACACACACGAAACACACATGTTGAATCCAAAACCAATCCTCTTTAGGTTTAGGTTCGACGTCAGAAATAGCCAAAAAATCTTCATCACTCACAGTTCTCTGCAGGATCTACTTCACCTAAAGTATCGGATTGCTTATCATTCTGATTTGCAGTTAGCCTTTCTTTATTCTACAATTTGTAGCAATCCTTCTTAACGTCCTCCCTCTTCTTGCAATAAATTTTGAAGTTAGACCTTAATTTGTCCCTTGCACAACCACTATTAAGAACAAGGCCATCTCCACGAATCTCAACAATATGCTTCATCTTCTCATTTGAAAATTGAGCATCATAGAATTCTTCAATAATGAGATCATGACTATATAAAATAGTGTCTTTAAACAAAAAATATGAAGCAAGCAAAAAACACAACCAAATCAATCCCATATAAGTGAGCCTCGCTTCGGGGGAGTTGAAAATAAGCGTAGATCCGAAGATTCCGAAATAGGGCAACCTTTCAAACTGCTTGCCTCCTAATCTATTACAACAAAAATCTTGTACTGCGATCCAATAGCGGAACATCAAACTTCATGGTTGCCATCAAAAAAAAAATCCCCCTGTAAAATGTAGCTTCAGTTCTGATACTACTTGTTATAAGCTGGGTCAAATCTGAAACTAGTTTGTTGCAAAAAGCAAGAGATGATACCAAATTAATTCAATACCACTTTGTTGGAGAAAATAGTAGATCAAGTCACAGAATGAAGTAATTGATCACAAGAATAAAATAATTTGTAGAAAATAAAAATTTTATTATAATATGGAGAAAGAATACAAAGATTTCGTGTTTATAATTTGTCAACTTATATGATGAGATTAAACAACCTGATTAAATTGTAGAGAACAACCAAATAGATATGGAAAACAACTCAAGCTCTAGAAGTAAAGTTGTAGAAAAAATAGAATGATCAAAAGTTTTATTATCTTGATATCTTTAAGTCCAATACAAATTTCAACTCCCAAAAAAAATTTCTAATAGAATTTTAATTAGAATTTGTCCAATAATTTTCAAACATGATTCCAACAGTATTCCAAGTAGAATTCTTTTCAATATACACTTTAATTAGAACTCTCAATTATTTTCAACAAAAAATTCAAATCATAAACAAATTTTAACATAATACACTATTGTACTAACACATAACATCAAACTCTAAACAAAGCATTAACTTACATTTGAAAGCCTAATAAAACCACAGTGAAATCACTTAATGGTGACCTAAATGACTCTTTTTATTGAACATATTTCTCATATTGGATGTATAAAACCTTAATCTGTTCACAACCCCGGAGCCTCATTTGGACTAAACAATGGCCATTGTCCATTGAATTGGACTCTGTGCATAAATAAATCAAGCACCCAGAGTGCATAAAACAGATCTCTAGCATGTTGTTATTCTTGAAAAATGATGTAAAGAAATGAGAACTGATGTTGCGAAGATAATTTAATTACAACGTACTAAAACGAACTCCCCATAAAATTTGGGTTGCTATAGAGGAAAAAAGCTGCAATAAACACATAATTACCGAAGCACACAGAAAATTTCAATGCTCACATATTAATGTACCAGCAAAAGAATGAGGATTTTATCAAATGGCTAACACAAACATTTAATGTTCTCATACTCTCTAGATATGCAGTCACTATTTTTCTCCGACATTGATTTGTTCCTAATTCTTTGTGGCAACAATCCGATGAAAGATATTTTTGAGGGTTTTAGGTGTTTTGAGAGTTTTATAATGTACTAATTACGTTTTAAAATTATTTAATTAGTTTATTAGGATATTAATCAAAGGGTCGTGCTATGTGTACATTGGGGGTGCCATAAGGGTGTCCACTTGGCACCCCCAACGTACAAGGAGAATAATCCTGAATCAAATTAGTTGTTTTTTAGGATAATTCCCTAAAAAGTCCGAAAAGGCATTAATAAGGGTCAAAATGGATGGACAAACATTTTCCATTTCTAGCCTCGTGGATTCAGACTAGTGCACCCAATTTGACACCACCTCATTTTGTTCTAAAGAGGGGTATAAAAAGGCGAGGCCACGCGGGCACTCACTATATATACAAACATTTTTTTAGTGAAAAAATAAAAAATAAAGAGCTTGTTTGGAAGATATTTTTTGAAAATCATTTTTCTCCAAAATAATTTTCAACCAGAAAACTCATTTTTCTTTTCAGAAAGTATCTCCCAAACAAGCTCTAAGTAAAACAAAAATACAGTAAGGACCGACCTGGTTCGAGGAAAAATGTAGTTAGCATAGCTGGACACAACCCGTTTTACACTTGCAATTTATTCACAGAACAAGAGGTTTGTAATAATGAAACTAATGACTTAAGCAGCTTTTAAACAGATTTGTCAAGAAAGACATGGATCTAACATCTCCAGTGTTCACATCAAGGACTCCTGTGGAATTGGCAGAGGCGAATAGCGCAATAGAACCTCCTTGGGTTCGAGCATATTTACATTCTGCAATATATGAGTCAAATTTAATCCGACTATATGCACTTGTGGATTGGAATGCCTGTTGAGAAATAAATTTGTGATCTGCAAAACAGAACATAAACAGAAGGGAAGAGAAACATCAGACTTGCTCAAAACATTCCAAATCTTCACTCACTCGTGTCATGAACATGTTTGGCTAAGGTTAGAAGTGAGTTAAACATACTTTTACGTAGTATTTTGTGTCCCAACTCCCAACACGTTTTGATATGCTACATTTTGCTTACTTTTAGCGGGGAAAAAAGTTATTTACAGCATGTTGATAAGCTTACGAGAAGTAAGATTTTGTAATGGTCAACAGTGTGAAATACAGACCACCTGTGCACTTAAGGGTAACTTTTGCATGAAAATCAGAAACCAAATAGCAATAATTGAAATCAGTTATAACTCTCCACAATGAAAATCAGCATGCTTTTATAAAATAACAATTTTGTTGCTTTTATGCCTGCATACCTCTGTACAACCGAAGACTTTGACCAGCTTCAGTGACGAGCAATTATCAACAATCAAACCTAATGCTTCTTCAGTAATTTGGCGACACCATGATAGATCCAAACTTAACAGCTTTCTTGAACATTTCGCAAGTGCCAAGGCTGTGTTGGGACCCACCTGTTAATTATGGCTCATCAGTAAGCATCAAACAAAAAGGTGGAGAGGAAGAGAATGATAAATACGCTGGTGTTACTAAACTTACTGAAAATTTTCAAGTTAGGTAAAATGACAAATAATTCAAACACGTATTTCATACCTTCGCCACATTATTCAGCAAGAGTTCCTCCAAGAACTCTCCTGAACTTTCTAGGAATGCTGCCATAGCTTCATCGCTGACACGAAAAAGAATAAACCAGATCAGATCAGTGGTGCAAGAAAGCAAACAACATTATCATGTACAGGAAAATAGAAGTGAATCACTCAATTCCATAACAGAATTTATAATGGTACAAGAATTTGATCTAGAAGAGGGTAAAGCAGTACAACTTTTCCATGGAAATTTAGCATAAAAACAAGAACGAACGAAAACCTGAACCGGTTGCGGCAAAGTCTGAGCTTTTGAATTCTTCGACAACCATTGGCAAGGTATTCGATTCCCAAATCTGTCAAGTGATTCAGGTATGAAATGTTTAGTGAACGTAAATCAGTGCAAATACTCCCAATGATTTGAAGTGAACGATCTGTCAAATTACTGCAGCAAAGGCAAAGCAGATACCAGTTAGAACCTAAATTTATTAGGAAGTGTTTGCATTTTGATTTATCTAAAACAAATTGACTTACAGACAATTAGCAAAGTCGAGGTCTTTAATATTTCGACCGCATACGGTAATCATGTCACTCACAAATTGATCGCTTACAGTCGGGATTCCAGCGACTGACAACACTTCCAAATGTTCAAAATTCTTCAATGCAGGTAGAATAAGCATTGCATCTATTTTTTGGCAATCATCTATATAAAGCTCTCTCAAAACTGATCCCAGAGAATTGGCTATAAATTCGATGCCAGCACAGGTGAGAAGGGTGCACTGTCCCAAGTTTATAGACTGAAGTGCAGGAGCTGACGTTACAATTGTTTTAAGTCCGTCATCTGTTAAACGACAGGCACCTCTAAGGGAAATGATAGCCAAATTATGCAAGCTATTTGAAGACCGAGCAAATGTATCAGCAAATGCATAATCAAGCGTGCATTGCCCACACAAGTCCAGTTGAAGCACCTGTTTACACAAACAACCCCGCATAACTAATTAGTTGCACTAAGATAATTTACATAAAAAAGAAGCATTCAAGGAAATAAAGAACATTATACGAAGGTACATTACCCCCCCTCAAAGAAAAATATAACTAACTCAAATAACGAAAGAAAATTATCACACATAAACCAAACACATGGAGAGAACTATGGAGACTTGCACCTAGGTTTGGAGCCCCTCCTTCCCCTATTTCTGGACTCTTGATCAGGAACCGTCATAATGATCTTATACTTCCTTAATCTGTATGTATTTATTTTACTTCTCTTCACCCAACAACAGAGAATTTGAATGCACTGTCATTTATGGGTTTACCTATGAATAAATATATCTGGAAAATAAAGAAACAATAATAATGATAGAAGGTTCTAACTGGAAAAAAAGAACAGAAATTAATAAAGGTCTTTGATTGAATTACTGAGAAAAGTAAATAATAAATAGCCATTCGAGAGAGCTAAACTTTCCACAAGGTCTTCCTTCCACTCAGTAAAAGGCTCCTTATTCCTTCCTAGCTCATCTCTATTTTATAATAGTCTTGTAACCACCTTGCCAGCTAAGCTAATAGAATGTTGCTACTCTCTTGCTTCTAAATTCTTCCTGGACCTTCCAGAATAGGTGAACTCGATAGGTATCACATGTCAAATGGAATCTGCGATGGATAGACAATGTAGCATCTGATGAATAGTTAAAGTTTTGCTTTAGAGTTACATATTCAGCTCCATACCGTCTCTTTTAGCATCTCTGTACATGACATCAGTGTTCTTTTTCCTTTTCTTAAGTTGCCAGCAAATCCAGAACTTACTTTTTATGAAGGAATTCACCTCCAGAGCCCGAACACCCTGATGGCCGAGAAGAAAACAGAGAGCAAAGTAGATAGTAGAGAAGGAAAAGGAAGACTAGAAATCCAAGTTGTAGCACCTGCCAAGATTAGAGCACTCAATGGAACAGATAACTCAGAACATGGCCATAATGCTGCAAACGATGGAGGCTACTTAAAAGGCGGTTGCAACCATAAGGGCCTGCTTAAGA